GTACCGTCCACCTTGCTGCACTACAGTCTCCCTACCTGAGCTAGCGGGGGTGGTCTCGAGCCTGGCGTTGGAGTCCCGGCAGCTCCTTGTGCTGGGGGACTTCAATGTCCACGCCGAGACGGCCCTTTCTGGAGCAGCTCAGGACTTCATGTCTGCCATGGCAAACATGGGGCTGTACCAACAAGTAACTGGCCCCACTCACAGTGCAGGACATACATTGGACTTAGTTTTCTGCCAGGGATGGGAGGAAGGTGGCGGTGTCGAGGAGTTGTCCATCTCTCCGTTGCCATGGACCGACCACTACCTGGTCAGATTTAGGCTCACTGCACCCCCTAACCTCTGCAGAGGTGGAGGACCTATTAGGATGGTCCGCCCCAGGAGGCTTATGGATCCAGATGGATTCCTGACGGCTCTTGGGGAATTTCCCGCTGCCTCGGTAGGTGACCCTGTCGACGCCCTGGTTGCTCTCTGGAATGGGGAGATGACTAGAGCAATTGACACGATCGCTCCGGAACGTCCCCTCTCAAGTAGCCGAGCTAAACCAGTTCCTTGGTTCACTGAGGAGCTGGCAGTGATGAAGCGAAGGAAGAGGGAACTAGAGAGTGTGTGGCGTTCGGACCCGTGCGAGCCAAATCGAACACGGTTTGTGTCCTTTCTGAGGACATACGCCGCGGCAATAAAAGCCGCAAAGAAGGCGTTCTTTGCGGCCACTATTGCGTCTGCAAGGAACCGTCCAGCTGAGTTGTTTCGAGTTGTCAGAGGCCTTTTGAATCCCACCACCCAAGGTGGGATCCCTGACAACTCGACCTCTCGCTGTGAAGCTTTTGCTCGGTTCTTCGCAGACAAAGTCGCTTTGATCCGTTCTGGTCTGGACACCATGTTAAATGCAGTCTCTGTGGATGTAGCAAGAGCACCTGCTTGTCCTATTTTGATGGATTCATTTCAATTGGTGAAACCCGAGGATGTGGACAATATACTTGGAGGAATGAGGCCGACCACGTCCATCCTAGACCCCTGCCCATCCTGGCTTCTAAAGGAGGCCAGAGGGGGATTGGCTGAGTGGGTGGAGGTGGTGGTTAATGCCTCCCTTCGGGAAGGCAAAATTCCAGCGAGCTTAAAACAAGCTATAATAAAACCGCTGTTGAAGAAACCATCACTGGACCCCACTAAATTTGACAACTTTCGGCCTGTTTCCAATCTCCCCTTTTTGGGCAAAGTCCTGGAAAGCGTGGTGGCCTCACAACTCCAGGTATTCTTGAGAGACACGGATTATCTGGACCCGGCACAGTCTGGTTTCAGACCGGGGCATGGAACTGAGACAGTCTTGGTCGCCTTAGTGGATGATCTGCGCCGGGAGCTCGACAGGGGGAGTGTGTCCCTGTTGGTGCTTCTGGACCTCTCAGCGGCCTTCGATACCGTCGACCACGGTATCCTTCTGGGGCGCCTTGCGGAAATGGGTCTCGGAGGCACTGTTTTGCAGTGGCTCCGGTCATTTCTGGAGGGTCGTTCCCAGAAGGTGTTATTGGGGGACACCTGTTCTTCTCCACAACCATTGTCTTGTGGGGTTCCTCAGGGTTCTATTTCTGTCTCCCATGCTGTTTAACATCTACATGAAGCCGCTGGGCGAGATCATCCGGAGTTTCGGGGTGCGGTGTCACCTGTACGCAGATGATGTCCAGCTCTGTCACTCCTTCCCACCTGCTACTAAGGAGGCTGTCCAGGTCCTGAACCGGTGCTTGGCCGCTGTGACGGTCTGGATGAGGGCGAACAAATTGAAATTGAATCCAGACAAGACAGAGGTACTCCTAGTCAGTCGCAAGGCCGAACAGGGTATAGGGTTACAGCCTGTGTTGGATGGGGTTGCACTCCCTCTGAAGACACAGGTTCGCAGCTTGGGTGTGACCCTGGATTCGTCGCTGAGCCTGGAGCCCCAGGTCTCGGCGGTGACCAGGGGAGCATTTGCACAGCTTAGGCTCATGCGCCAGCTGCGCCCGTATCTTGGGAAGTCTGACTTGGCCATGGTGGTACACGCTCTGGTCACATCCCGCCTTGACTACTGCAACGCTCTCTACGTGGGGCTTCCCTTGAAGACGGCCCGGAAACTGCAACTAGTCCAACGCGCGGCAGCCATGATCCTAACAGGAGCAGAGCGCAGGGAGCACACAACCCCCCTGTTGCACCAGCTCCACTGGCTGCCGATTTGCTACCGGGCCAAATTCAAGGTGTTGGTATTGGCCTATAAAGCCCTAAACGGTTCCGGCCCAAGATACCTATCTGACCGCATCTCGGCCTATGAACCCACCCGGACTTTGAGATCTTCCGGGGAGGCCCTGCTCTCGATCCCGCCAGCCTCTCAAGCACGGTTGGCGGGGACGAGAGATAGGGCCTTCTCGGTGGTGGCTCCTCGGCTGTGGAACGCCCTTCCTGCAGATGTTAGGTTGGCACCATCTCTCATGACATTCCGTAGAAAGCTGAAGACCTGGATGTTTATGCAGGCATTTGAGTAATTTAGTGCAATTCTGGTAATTTGAACATAGGAACGGAACAATGGACGATGAATTTGGATCACGTTTTGGATGACGAGGCGATCGGGGGTGGGTTTTTTGTGATAACTGTGTATTGATGTTGTTATTGCTAGTAATGGAATTGTGTAGTTTAACTGCTATGGTATATTGATTGCTGCTGTTTTTACTGTCTTTTGTTGTTTACTGTCTGGAAACCGCTGTGAGTCGCCCTCGGGCTTGAGATACAGCGGTATACAAGAATAGTAAATAAATAAATAAATAAATAGTTAACATTATACATCTTTTCACTCAGTAACAGCCATGTATAACCCAGGAACAGCACCCTGTTGTTTGATTCCAGAAGCATACAACCAAATCTGTCTGGACAGGTAGCCAGGCAGCCAGGCTCTAAAAAGTGTCAGTAATGACGAGTTCTGTACCTGGGTTGAAAATGTATGTTCCTGTTTGATTGTGCAGTGCTGACTTGGGCAGAACTGGTCCTACCCCATAAACTTTGTGTGGCAGATACTTCATGAAATGTCTGGAGGACGCAGACTTTTTCAGTGATTCCCTGCAGTGATTCTCCACATATCCACATATCTGCATCTTGGCGGCGATCTTGGGAGCCTCTAAATCTCGCAGCAAAACATCAAGTCTGGACAACGGAGGCAGAAATCCCGGGACCAACAGGTCTGTATGTGGACCTCTTCTAAAGTCCCGGGATTTTTTGCCCCTTTTTCAAACCCGTGATTTAGTGCTGTCTGGAAGCACCCTCAACCTCAGAAGAAGACAATGGCAACCACTCTCTATAAACCCTATGTAGGTTTGCATTAGGGTCCTCATAGATCAGAAAACTCTGGAATATATACAGTCATAATATGTGATATCCCTTTAACAATCTAATTCAGCAATTCAAAGAATTCTAAAGACCTTGTAAAACGATGACTCCCAGAATCCATAGCATTGAGCATTAATTCTACAGCACAGATGCACCCTTAGTTATACTCAGGGCTATCCACCTACCTTTTCACACATTGAGTTTATTTGAGTCCACCTATGGGGACAATGTTTGGTTCTGGGGTATTTCATTTTTTTGGTATTCCAGATAAGGGAAATTTAGCCTGTACTAATTCATGGTTTGGGTTGGCAGTGGTTCTTCAGAGTGTTAGAAAAAGTTGGAAAGTGACTTTTGGACTGCAGTTTCCCAGAGTTTATCACTGGCCATATTGACTAAGATGTGTATTCGAAAAGGTGATAGTCAAACCTCATGCATTCCTCATAAAGAAGAAAGTACAGGTTTAGTCCCTCCCTGGATAAGCCAAGGATTGGTTGATTTACACAGGATTTAAGATTCGATGCGTATTTCTGCTATTTATAGACTTTGCCCATTCTTGTTCCAGGAAGTTATATAAATTATTTTCAATAAGCTAAAGGTCAAAATATCATATTTGGGATTTTTAATTGCCAGCTTTCGGAACCAGTGCTACGCAGGCCAAAGCTCAATGAAACAAGAATTAAGAGCCAGGATTTTGCAGTGTAGTGGTTGAGTAAGACAAAAAGAAGTTAAAGGAAAAGACTTCCTGGTTTCTTCTGGGCAAGGTTGTTGTTGTTAACTGCCTTTAGTTCAACTCTGAGTTGTGGTGACCTTACAAAGAAGAGATCTCCAAGTCACTGTGTTATCAAGCACTGTGCTTTGGTCTTGCAGACTCCAAGCTGTGGCTTCCTTGATTGATTCCTATCGTTCTGGAATGCGATTTTCCTCTTTTCCAATTGCAGTTCATTATGCATGTATTATTGTATTTTCTAATGAGTCATATCTTCCATGATATGGCCAAAGTACAACAGTCTCAGTTCATCTTGAATGAACACAACAATATCGACTCTAAGGAATGCATGGCTACATTTGCATAATCCAAACTGCAACACAGGATGCCTGCTCACTAGGCTTGTGCAATCTGGGTAAACCTTTATCCGTTTCATGTCCCAGCTTTTGGTGGGGGCCCTGATCCATTTTTTGAGAGCCTCCCGAATTCGAGAGAGCAGATATCTGCTTTTGCTCTGGGGTGCCAATAGACCCATTTCCAAGGTAGGAGAGGCCTTTATGGGGGAGGGGGGAGCTTCCCAGATTCCCCTTCCTATCATTTTAGGCATTTAAGCTATTCATTTATTTCCTATATTTTTACCCCGCTGAGGATGCCATGAGATGCCAACTTCATAAAAACATTCAACCATACATTAAAATATTAAAAAAACAGCAATTAAACAATTGATTAAACATGGGTGCAGCACATTGACATCTCCTTTCCAGAAGAGATAAGGAGTGCTGACTAAGAAAGGTTTGGGAAGTAGAGTTTCCTGGATAATTCCCCCTCCCTCCCTTTCTTTTATTTTTGTCCTTGTAGTTTTAGACATATGAGGAAATGGAGTGAACAGGTAGGGAGGTTCCCTGTGAGATGCCTCAGCTATTTATCCGAGAGGGCAAATGCAACACTCTGCTGTCAAAGCAGTCCAGGAGGCACATCAGGAGGGAGCGGAAGGCCTGTCCCATCTCTGCCTTCCATCTGATCCCTAATATGAAAAGAATAGACATGCTGCTCCTCAAAAATCTCCCTCTGCTCTTCTGTCTGAGCATTGCGAGTGGATTCCGCCCCAATCATGAATCGGGTGGGATTGATCCAAGTGACTTCACGGATACTGATATTACGGAGATGGGGGTGCTTCGGGCCGTGGCGTGGTACATGGAGAGGAACCCTCTGCCCGGAAAACCACCCATGACCCCAGGACAGTTGGAAAATATGAAGCCACTGACTGCTACTGGACTTTTCAAGGCCTATTTCCAAGGTAGGAGAAGAGAAAAGATGAGGACTTTCCAAGCTCTATGCAAATAGTCCTTGTTGTCTTCCATTTTTGTTCCACGTGTTATGAATGTAGGTCTTGTTCGCTTCTCTATGGGAGCCAGGAGACCTGAGTTTGGAAAAGTTATCTTTTGTGGTCCAGAGAACGTAAGCCAAGCCCCCCTCTACACTGCTCTATATCTCAGTATCAATCTCAGATTATCTGCTTTAAACTGGATTGAATGAGTCTCCACAGCCAGATAATCTGCAATAAGAAAATCTGGGATCAGATCCTGGAGTATAGGGGCAGTGTGGAAGGGGCCTTAATGAACTCAGGGCAAATTGCATATTCAAACTCATTGCTCCAATCCCTGTTCTATAGGATTCTGGCAATCAACACTGATTTACAGGATTTCACTGCCTCCTCCTTGGTGAGCTGAATGTCATCATGCATCAACTTTCTCCTACAATCCCCCCAAAAGCATATTTTTTCTTATGCCTAGTGACTGTTCTTCTGTTCAACTTGGAGCCCTTCCACACAGCCATATGACCCAGAATACCAAGGCAGAAAATCCCATAATATCTGCTTTGAACTATGTTATCTGGAGCCCCGGTGGCACAGTGGGTTAAAGCACTGAGCTGCTGAACTTGTTGACCAAAAGGCCACAGGTTCGAATCCAGGGAGTGCTGTGAGCTCCTGCTGTCAGCCCCAGCTTCTGCCAACCTAGCAGTTCAAAAACTTGCAAATGTGAGTAGATCAATAAGTACTGCTTGGGCAGGAAGGTAACGTCACTCCATGCAGTCATGCCGGCCACATGACCTTGGAGGTGTCTATGGACAATACCGGCTCTTCGGCTTAGAAATGGAGATGAGCACCACCCCCAGGGTAGGACATGACTGGACTTAATGTCAGGGGAAAACCTTTACCTTTACTATCTGAGTAAACACTGTTCAAAGCAGATAATGTGGGGTTTTATTGAGCTGTGTAGAAGGGGTCTCAGGGGAGGTAAGCCCCTGCCCTGTACTTATCACCTTAAGGTGGTAAGTATGGCAACCTTAAAGTGGACTCATGGGATTTTCTAAGGCTGAGAGTGTGCGACTAACCCAGTGTCACCAATCTGGTTTCAATGACTGAGGGCCCTTCCACACAGCCCTATATCCCAGAATATCAAGGCAGGAATCCCACATTATCTGAGTTTATGTTTGATGTTTTTATAGTTTTAATGGTTTTTATATACCGTTATGTTATTGATTTAGATATGTGATATTTTTATATATATATATATGTGAGGCATTACATTTGCCATTTATTATTTGTGACAGTGTGGTACCATTTATTTATTGTCCATTTATTGATTGTTTGAACCCTTTGAGTTCCCTTCCCAGTGTTCTGGGTGAGAAAGTTAGGCGCGTATAGAAACTGTTGCAGTTTGCTTTGTGTCGGGTTGACAATGAAACTATAAATATGTAATTTAATTAGTAGTATTAAGTAACTGAATATAATACGCTTGGGAATGTGTCTGACGTGTGAGTTCGCCATATACAACAATGCGCAATCACAGTCTTTAGAGTGTATGGCTGTGGGCTGCATTCTTGTTGTTGTTATTCTATATAATTATATATTTTAACGTCTCCAGTTTGCAAATAGCAGTTATATTTTGTGAGCGGATTTTCTGCCTTAGACTTGTCTTGAGACAAATATCTGCGGTTAATATACTTTGTAGGGCTGTGTCGAGAGGGCCCTTAGGGTCAGATAATATCACTTCTCTCTTAGCTTGCTTCGAGAGTCGCAGAATGGATCTACTGATAGCAGGATTTTGGGATTGTATTCCAATAGCATCTGGGGGGGGGGGGGGGTGTCTTGGTTCCTGTTATTGTATCTAAATCCAGTTTGTAAAAAATGTAAGTTTGTATCTATGGATTTTGTGTTTCTGTAATAACATGACCTGTCTTCCCCTCTTTTTTTCTTGCCCAGCTGATGTCTCTCCCAATCGCTTTGTGAAAGCCCTTCAAGAAATCATCTCTGGAAATAATCTTGTGGAGGTCCTCCACATGGAGGACAGCAGCTTCTTCTTCTACTGTGAAGAGATCACTAAAAGTAAGCATGTGTGCAGGGGTGTTGTGGCCTTCAGGGAAGTATTTCTTGGGGTTGGGTGCAAGGAAGAACTCACTGTGAACTGGAATGGACTGGATATCTTGTTGAAACAAATGGGGTGTGGAAATAAATTCATGCCAGTCCTGGAGAATTAAAAACATGATTTACCTTTCATTAATTCCTGTGCTCTGTCACTGTGCTATAAATCTATTAGTCCAAACATACTTATAGAATCATAGAGTTGGAAGAGATCTCATGGGTCATCCAGTCCAACCCCCTGCCAAGAAGCAGGAATATTGCATTCAAAGCACCCCTGACAGATGGCCATCCAGCCTCTGTTTAAAAGCTTCCAAAGAAGGAGCCTCCACCACACTCCGGGGCAGAGAGTTCCACTGCTGAACGGCTCTCACAGTCGGGAAGTTCTTCCTCATGTTCAGATGGAATCTCCTCTCTTGTAGTTTGAAGCCATTGTTTCGCGTCCTAGTCTCCAGGGAAGCAGAAAACAAGCTTGCTCCCTCCTCCCTGTGGCTTCCTCTATATTTATACATGGCTATCATATCTCCTCTCAGCCTTCTCTTCTTCAGGCTAAACATGCCCAGCTCCTTAAGCCGCTCCTCATAGGGCTTGTTCTCCAGACTCTTGATTATTTTAGTCACCCTCCTCTCGACACATTCCAGCTTGTCAATATCTCTCTTGAATTGTGGGGCCCAGAATTGGAGACAATATTCCAGGGGTAGAAACCAAAAATGACAAGCCTACAGTAGGTCCCTCTCTCCATTTCTAACTCTACTCTAACTAAATCTAGGACTAGAGCAAGACATGCTATTTCGGACTGAAACCTGGATTAAATTTCCTCATGTTTGAAAGGAAATATGGTAAAAAATTGTTACAACCAATCTCTTCCATGCTATTCATTCCTAGGCATCAACCAACTCCGAATCTTGAGGGACTCTGTGCTCTCTGGCCTCAAAGGCCATGTGAATTCGTCTGCTTTGGAGTCAGCTCGCCTGAGTGCTGGGAAAGCCCTCCATGTCCTCCAGAAATTCTACAGCAACACCAACTGGGCTGAAATGGGCAACAGCAAGCCTTATGAATATTTGTGTAAGTCAGACTGAATACGGAAAATCTAGAATGAGCCTTCCATATTTGCTGTAGTTCACTCCCCAGCTTCTAAAATAAAGAGGATTCCATTGATAAGTGGGAAAATGCATTGTACATTAGTAACAATGATAATAAGGGTCCCCTGGTGATGCACGGGTTAAACTGCTGAGCTGCTGAACTTGCTGACCAAAAGGTTGGCGGTTTAAATCTGAGGAGCGGGGTGAGCTCCTGCTGTTTGGCCCAGCTTCTGCCAACCTAGAACTCTGAAAACATGCAAGTGTGAGTAGATCTGCGGGAAAGTAATAGCACTCCATGCAGCCATGCTATCCACAAGAACTTGGAGATGTCTATGGACAATGCCAGCTCTTCAGCTTATAAATGGAGATGAGCACCACCCTCCAGAGTCAGACATGGCTAGACTTAATATTAGGGGAAACCTTTGCCTTTACCTAATAATAACAATAATGCATTTGATTTATACTGAACATTTCATCCTAAGAGCTCAACGTAGCTAATGCTCTTCATAAAACACAATTGAAACCACACATTGCAAATATATCCTGCTGTACTAAATTACAAGTTAAATCAGAGCTTTTCAAACATTTTGTGTTGATGACACACCTTTTAGACATGCATCATTTAGCAACACGCTAATTCAGTTTTACTAGCAAACCAGGACTTAAACAAACCCCTTATGGGAGATATATACATACATAAATTATAATGATGAAATGTATAGGGGCAGAACATATATCATTCAAACATTTCATATTTTTAAAATATTTGACTTATTTTTTATTTCACATAGACTCAGAGATTTCTCATTACAGTTGTGCAACACACTTGCACATTGCAGCCGACATCCTAAAGCAGGAGTCCTCAAACTTTTTAAACAGAGGGCCAGATCGCCGTCTTTCAAACTTTTGGAAGGCCAGATTATAATTTGAAAAAAAATATGAATGAATTCCTATGCACACTGCACATATCTTATTTGTAGTGCAAAAAACACTTTAAAACAATACAATAATTAAAATGAAGAATAATTTTAACAAATATAAACTTATTAGTATTTCAATGGGAAGTGTGGGCCTGCTTTTGGCTGATGAGATAGGTTGTTGTTGTTGTTGTTGTTGTTGTTGTTGTTGTGTGCTTTCAAGTTGTTTCAGACTTAGGTTGACCCTAAGCAAGGGCCAGGTAAATGGCCTTGGAGGGCCGTATTTTAGTTTGAGGACCCCTGCACTAAAGTGTTGTAACCCACTTCTTGGAAAACTCTTGGTTAAATAAATAGGCAAAATACTTTTTAAAAAGGTATTCAAGTTACTTTTTTATTTTTACACCGGTTGCAACTTTCTCAGACCATGATCTGACAAATGAACTTGAACATATGCCGAACTTTCCAATTACTTTCAAGAGAAATCTGTGAAAAGAGATCCAAAGAAGTGCAGAAAGCGCAGTTCATATGATGAAATTAAGTAATTGTAAAAATCTCTGCCCCCACAAATGTATATACATTTTTCAAGCACAGAAGCATCCTAAACTCAGCTGGGTTTCAGAAGTAAGTGGAATCCAATTGTGTCTCTAAAATGGAATCCCTCCCTTTTCTGTGTGTCTTGCAGTAAACACAACCAGTCGGGCTTTTCCTGCTGCTCCAGCTTCCAAGACGACGTGTGGCAACTGTGTGAAAGAGTCAGGGTAAGACCAGTATGGGGCCAAACTCAGAGAATGCAGAGAAGAATTTGGACTTATGTATGAGCCACTATCTAGGAGCTCCCGGTGGTGCAGTGGGTTAAACCACTAAGCTGCTAAGCTTGTTGACCATAAGGTCGCAGGCTCTAATCCGGAGTGGGGCATGAGCTTCTGCTGCCAGCCCCAGCTTCTGTCAACCTAGCAGTTCGAAAACATGCAAATGTGAGTAGATCAGGGAAGTACCTTCCCTGGCAGGAAGGTAACGGCACTCCATGCAGTCATGCTGGCCACATGACCTTGGAGGTATCTGCGGACAACGCCGACTCTTTGGCTTAGAAATGGAGATGAGCACCACACCCCAGAGTCGGACACGACTGGACTTGATGTCAGGGGAAAACCTTCACCTTTACCTATGGGCCACTAACAATGGTTGGATCTACACTGCCATATAATCCAGTTTCTGAATCCGGATTACCTGCTTTGAACTAGAAGATATGAGTTTCCATTACCATATAATCTGGATCAAAACATATACCGTAATCTGGATTCAGAAGAGGGATTATATGGCATTGTAGATGGGGCCAATGACTACGGGTCCTTCCGCACAGCCATATAACCCAGAATATCAAGGCAGAACATCCTACAATATCTGCTTTGAGCTGGGTTATCTGAGTCCACACTACCATATAACCCAGTTCAAAGCAGATAATGTGGGATTTTACACAACTGTGTGGAAGGGGCCCAGAGGACGGGGGGGGGGGGGGGAGAGAAATCCATCCCCCCCAGCTACAGGCCTGCATGTAGACAATTATTCTCCATGTAGGTTTATTAATTCGTTCATCTATCATGATCAGAAGATACAGTTGCAGTGTAAATTCTAGTTCTAATTGTAAGATTCCAATAATTGTATTATGTTTCTTCTTCCAATAATTCCTAACCCTTTTACATTTCCATAACATATCTACTCAGGAATATTAATCCCCTTTCTCAATAAATCTTTGCGCTTAACAGTGGCTGGTATTCGTGTGATGAAAACCTTCTAGTCAAAGACATGCTCACAAGCGGCTACAAGTTATCAACAACATGCAGGACCAAACCAAGAGGTAAAAGCAGCTATAAAGTATATATAGATCCATCTCTGTCTATTTTTAGTGGATACCTGATAGGGATCCCATGTAAATCTCTATAATTATGTCCTGGATGCTAGGAATTCAGAGGATATAAAATGGGACCAAGATTCTAGATCAGCGTTGTCTTTAGTTTGCCATCTGCTCCAATCCAAACTTAACAGGCATCAGCCACTGTGAGCACGAAACTCTGTTTTCCTGTTCATTGGCATGGAGCAAATGGACATATCTGTCTCCCTCTCCTGTGCAATCTTTTGTTCGACAGTCAGAAGTAGGACCTCTGTCTCAATGTCTTCTTGCACCAGAGATTGGTCACAAAAGGGAGGTGGAAATAGTCTGCTGTGTCCCATTTGACCAGAGAACAGACCCCCATTGCTCACAGAGGATGTTGCTTGGTAAATCAGGATTTCCCCATTCCTATGTATTACCTCCTCCAATGGTCCTCTACCTGAGGTCTGGAGATAGTTGTTGTTGTTGTTGTTG